GAGGTGAACATAGCATATTACAGAGCCTGAGAGAGAGAGGGAGACAGTGTAAAGTCGATTCTAACGAATCAGTGTGCACAACTTTTCATGATGTTCGATCAGGGTGGCCGTGTGGCAGTGGAGTATGGCGATGGAAGCCTAGAATTATACATCGACGCTGAAAAGTTCGAGGAGGCTCGAGTTAACGTGGGTAGAGCAGTAAAACGTGAACTCCATAAAGTCACTGGCTAATGGATATACACGTGCAATGCCGCTCCTTCCCTCAGGCATTGTGCTCGTCCCGCAGCCTGAGAGATCAGTGGTCCTTACTTTTCACTTTTAAGCACCTGAAGTTCCCCGGAAAGGAGGTGAGCAAATGATCCCACTTGAGAGAAAGGAACTCCCGCGAGCTCACTAAGAACCCCTTTTCAGTAGCCGATTGTCGGGATAGTCGTGAACGATGTAGATAAGATTCTGAGGATCTGAGTCCTGAAACTCGCGTGGGTAGTTGAAAAGGCGAGCTGGCGTTCATTTTGGTGACGTCACTGTTGATTTGACTCATCGAACGACAGCACTAGCGGTCCCTGAACAACGTTCATCTTGCCTCTTCTGAGACCGTGACTACTGGCTCGTCTGGACACTCAAATTTGACCACATCTAGCCTATGTATAATTTATACTTATGAAAGGGTACAGGTAATGAACGGCTTGCGTGAGCTCCCGAGACGACCGCCACACAATAAACCCTGTGGCGGCGCTCGTCGCTGGCCACACATCTGGCATTCTGACGGAAGCCTCTCGCTACGCACACAATATTATATCTGGCATTCCCCCCAGAAGGTTTAAGTTCTTGATCATGAAGGCATAACCTAGCTTGAAAAGGCAAGGTGGCGTTCCAATTGGTGACATCATTGACGAGTCATCGCGGAGTTTGAATATTGCTAGTTCCTTGAAAAATGGACGATACACTTGCCTGACTAAGGCCTGACTATTCCTTCGTTTTGCTTCTTCTTTCAAAGACTATGATTACAAAACAACCAGCTTCCTGGGCACTCCACGCAGCCATCAAAATTGCAAGACAGAAATGCCGATTTAGACCCGCCAGAGTGCTTGGGGAAGCCAAAATTCCATGTCTTGTTTGGGGAGAGGATGTTCTGGAACACGCATATCATGCTCAACGAAGCTTATTCGAAAGCTCTTATACCAGTCCTCTTGAGCTCGTCGTACCCGACCATGACGTTACCATTGCTGTGGAAGCCCTTATCAACTCCTCTCCAGCTTACCGGATTGCCAGTGGAGTACGAGTCGGGTACATGACCGGACAAGTTCTTCCAGTCCCGAATCCACAGCTCATATACCCTCATTCATCTTGTGTCAAGCCGCATGTCAAATCGCAAGATGAACAGGATGATGGAACCCCTGAAGCTGTCTACCTACACCCGCAATCCAAAGTTTTCTTCGATGTGCTTGACAAACAGCGCTCCGAGCCCCTTCCATTACCTGATCTGGACACCCTCAGAATCCCCACGCTGACCGCCTTCCTCGACTCAATCATCGGGTTAATATTGGACCCGTCCCCCAGGGGACCTCGGGATAACCTAGACCGCATGATGTGGGAGTTATGGATCACGGTGCTATATAAGGGCTGTAAACAGTTAAGGCGCCAGAAATGGTGGAAGGAGAATCACAAGCTCAGGCCGCAGACGCTCGAGGTGATGAGGAAATTGAGACCGGAGAATCAGCCGTACTTCGCAGCTTTCACGGAAACGGGATTCGAGGGCCGCCCGTATGACGGCCACATCAAAACCAGGCAGGCACTGCTTTCTACACTTGGGTCAGTTACTTTATCTGAGATCAAATGAGTTGCTCATCATTCCTGCCTTGAAACTCAGGCGCCGCGAAGACACAAAGTGAAGATGAACGCCTCCTGCGCATATTCTTGAGAGGTCTCATTGCCTAGCAGAGTATTCGTACCTCCGTGGACATGACAACACATTACTAGTGTCTGGCAGAAGTGGAATTATCACCCAAATCTCATCATTGTATATTGCTTGATCCAGAAACGAGTGATTCGAATATAGGAAGAACAAGATATCAGCTGACAGGTCCGGAATTCACGCTTAGCGTGTCCTTCCCAACTCGCAACTTCCCAGAACGCGAGTTCGAAGCATGTAGCGTAGATGGTTAAACGCACCCGGAACTTGACGTCTGTATGAGACCAATAAAAGACAGTAATTCAAACAAGAGACCTTAGAGAGTGGCCGTCGGTTGATATTGTAGGAATATGGAAGGAAGCACTCGAAACCGATTGCCGATATCTGGCTGCTGCTGGAACGACAGAAATAACTTCTGCAAAGCGACATGAACGCCTTGGTTGAATGACCTGTCCAAAATCGCAAAACATACCAACGAGAGGAGGTTACGATGTGATGCGCAACACTTACCTGGAGTCAAGGCCAAAAAGACTGTTTGTGAAGATATGCTAGAACATGCCGTAGTCAGAGGTTAAGGAGGGTTGAGATCGTGAATAATCGCGACTCTTCGTTGCATTCAAACGCCGCACCCTGGCAACTTAGTATTCGATCACCATGATTTCCACAAGGAAGGTTATATTCCTTGCTTATCTTGCCATCGGAGAAAGGTAGTAAGCCGCTTGTATTCAAAATAGCGAAAAACATGATATCACAAAGCCAATTTCCTTCGTTCAGAACAGCCGAAACCGGAATCTTTCGACAATCTGAGTATTCATCGCGACGATTCAGTATTGAGTACCAGCATCAGATAAGATGAATATGGACATAGACTCATTGCTCGAAGCCGCACGTCCTAGAACGGAAGATAATGGCGAGTCTTCTTCCCGGGCTTCCCTTTGACGTAGACGAACCACTGCGGCGCCATCCTGATCGTATCCCCTCCCTCCCTCTCTTCTTCGCCATCCCCCTCCCGCATGACCTCAATGCCCACATGCCCCGCAAGCGCCCTACAAGCCCACCTCTCCCCACTGCGCCCATCCACCACCCGCACACTAACCTCCGCATACCCCTCCGGGCACGCGCTCACACGAGGGAACCCACACCCATCTACCTCCAGTCCCCTCGCCCACGCGGGCGTCGGCACACGCGCCAGAACCCCCAGCCGCACGGCCGTATCCTTATCTCGGTCCGCGAAGAACACGCCCTGTGCATCCCAGGCGCAGAACGCGCTTATCCAACCGCCGAGCCAGTACGTCCCGGATCCGCTCTCCTCGTGCACCATGCGTGCCCAGAAGGGTGCGTCGGGCCCGGTGGGGAAGCCATCGTCGAAGGCGCGCACGAAGCGCGTGAGGATGGCGCGGAGCATGTGGGACCATTCGGTGGGTTCGGCGCCGAATTCGGAGAGTTTGGAGATGCGGGAGAGAAGGGATTGCCAGTCGGATTGTGTGCCTAAGAGGGTGAGGTAGGGGATGCCGCAGAGGGTGCCGAGTCGGTATGTGAAGTACCTGGTGATTAGACATGGTTAGATATGTGCTATGAGATATCGGAAGAAAGAGGGCATACTTTTTCAGTGTCGACATGAGGAGCACGGAGCAGATTACCGAGTCGTCCGGGGTAGTCGTTGAGAAATTGGGGAGCACCCACGGGACCAGCGACGCGTCCTTCACCTGTTGTCGTGTAGCCAATGCACTCATAGTATCATCCAGATAGTAAACGCACCTTCTTGCCAACCTCTCTACTCATCTGCACCGCCAGATCACCAAAATCCATTCCTTCCACAGTCGTCGACTCGGACGTGACCCTCAGCTCGATCCGTCCCGAATGTGAGACAAATTTATCGCGCAACTCCTCAGCGTGCGCGTTTATACTGATGGGAGCCATCAGCTTGGTGTCGCTGGAAGAGCGAAAAGATCAACACGCACTAGAAGTTCAGCTGCGACATGATAGCAATCCATACGTCGTCCGGCCTGCGTGCATCGATGAGATCCATCTTACAAGCCATCGATATCAACGTAGACACACCGAATAACGAGGTTGTGGTGCTTATTGTACGCCAGCACCACCCCCTGCACGAACCCGTTCCGCTGCACGATGATACCCCTCGATTGTGGCTCCTCAGCTTTCCAAGGGACTGAGCTCTGCAGGATTCTCGCAGGCGTGTACTCAGTTATCACATCACCGAGAATCTCGGCCTCGTTGTGGAGGAGCTGCGCGTGTGTAGGCGCGAAGCGTTCAGCGGGGTGGGGGGCGATGGGGAATGTTACGGGCATGGTATGGCTGGAGGTTTTGGTTGGGATTTGAAGGAGGGTTGTGGATGTGTGCCTGTGGACGCCATGAAACGGTGCGCGTGGGGATTAGACCAGGTACTATATAGAGAGCTGAATCCGATGGGCGACGGCGTTCCGGGTCGAGGCTACCTCCAGGCTGTGACCTGTATTAACATGACAGAGCAGGCGTGTTGGGATCCAGGGTTGTCGGAGGCGCCCATCGAAAGTTTCTGGGACCATCGTGTGAGTGAGTGAGTAAGTGAGTGAAGAAAATGATGAGGGTGCGCAATGCGCGTCGCCGTCAGAAGCATCTTGATGGGATTTAGATCGCTTAGATCCTCCAAACCTTCTTTGAACACCTCTACCTTCATGGCGCTGTAGTGTAGCGGTTATCACTCGAGATTCTGATTCTCGTAACCCAGGTTCGAGTCCTGGCAGTGCCTTAGAAGACTATTAACGAGGCAAAGTCAATTTTATACCACGTATCAGTCACGTATCCCACACAGGCATCCTATATGCGCATTGCTGCAGTATCTTTTCTTTATACGGTCCCCTAACAATGTGTGAGAGCCGTTCCAGAAATGGACAATGCGAAGGGGTAATTATTTCTTCACACATATCAAAAACAGAATATCGCCCGGGTGATCAAAAAAAACATCAATATTTGCTCAACTTGACTCAACATTACGATAACTTCCAAGACGACTGGTTCGAGTCTAGCGGCGCACTCCTCCACATATCTTGCTTACGAAACTGAAGCACACGAAGTATGAACTGTATACGGCGCTGTAGTGTAGTGCTATCGCTCGACTCAGCTGATTGACGATTGGGTAATCCAGATATCGTTCTCGCGACCCAGGTTCGAGCCCTGGCAGTGCCTCTGGAAGTCAGTGTGTTGACTATACTTTTGCAACTCCCGCGGCTTCAATCAGGGACATCGTGCTGGTATTCTCGTGGGCCTAAACTTCCACTCAAGTGGCGCATCCCTTCAAGTATCAGGAGCGGAAACACATAGGTATCGGCGCTGTAGTGTAGCGCCAACACACGAGGCTACACATAGACCTCTCTCGATTTCTGTCGTCCTCGAAACCCAGGTTCAAGTCCTGGCAGCGCCTTCCTTTAGACATTTGCAAGTTTCTGTATGTTTTTCGTCTGTACCCACCAATCTCCGGGTATTTGGATCGACGAAATTTGGATTGGAGACGACGCCGTATACAGGTTAGTACCGGCACTGTAGTCAAGCAGCTCTTACTCTCAAAAATGATTTGGTTGTAGATATATGATATATTTCCAGATTCAAGTCCCGAGTCGTGGCACTAGTATGATCTTTGAATCAGCTTTAGTAGCTAGCTAAATTTTCTTTTTCTTTTCTTTCTGCGCTGACGGCACCACAGCTACCCCTTGCACCAGGATATACTGAGAACTCCGAGTCGGGGACGTCGCGGAACATCAACCTACTCTTTGCATGCTTGCAAGGTATGTAGGTATGTACCGGCACTGTAGTGAAGTGGCACTCACTCGAGATTGAGCTAAACGAGTGCGTGTGATGCATAAAGCAATCTCGCGACCCAGGTTCAAGCCCTGGCAGTGCCTTCTCCAAGTTGACCAGCGGTGCTTGTCTTTTTCTTTTCTATTCGTACTTAGTATCTCTCATACTGGGCCGGACTAGGGCGGTCGTCGGTGGCATCGATCTTCTTCCGAATTTTCGAACTATATCATACAGCATCCGAGATGTATAGGTATGTACCGGCACTGTAGTGAAGTGGCCTCACTCGATATGAAGCTGTACATATAGTGTGCAGCAGAAGTGTCCTATCCTCTCGACCCAGGTTCAAATCTTGGCGTGCCTCTTCGTTCAATGGAAAGAGTTTTGCTTTAACGATTCGGTCCCTTCAACCACTACTGCTCCCCGCTTGCAAAACTTCAGGACGCGACGTGCAAGTATGAGTACCAGCGCTGTGGTGAAGTGGCCTCACTGCTTGAGATCAAGATTTCCGGATTTCGCCATTTGACGATGATCTCGTAACTCACTGCAGGTCTTGAGGTCTTGGGGGGGGGAGTTCATTAGACTGAATCCTGAGGATGGTGATCTCCTCGATATTATACATCTGCCACCGCGTAGTCCACGGTGGGTCCTACTCACGCCCCGTCCTCATCGACCAAGACGCGTACAACCACATCGCCGCCCTCTCTGCACTTGCACCACTCCTTAATGCCTCAGCGCTCGACGTCATATGCGCGTGTTTGGAGAGTATGCCACACGCGAAGAGCATCGCGTTCTTCAACACCGTGTTCCATAACAGCATACCCAAGCATATATCGGCATATGCGATAGACCAGAGCATCGCAACGGAGCGTGGACTGTGCAAGTACGGGTTCCACGGGTTGAGCTGTGCGTATCATCTTCCCTTCCCCTCCCTTACTAACCCTTCCACCCCACCCAGACGCCTACATCCTCCGCTCCATCTCCACCCACCTCTCCCGCCCCGCCTCCTTCCTCAACGTCATCGCGCTCCTTCGCCTCTGGCACCTCCGTCTGCGCGATCCGCGCCGGGCGCCCGCTCGACACCTCGATGAGGCTCACCCCACTCAGCGGCCTCCCCGGCGCAATACGCGCGGGGGGCGCGGATCCTGCGCTTGTATTTCATTATTTCATTATACCAAGGAGTTGAGGGAGGCCGTGGTTGAACGCGTGCAGTGCCTCGGGTATGCGGGGATCGATAAGGGGAGGAATGAGCGGGTGGGAAGGGGGCGGGAGGAAGGGGAGAGCGTGGTGGATATCGGTGTGCAGGGAAGTGGCAAGAGGGTGTTGGTATGCTGGACGCATGAACAGGTATATGTCCGCTGTGTCATTTGTACGGGGTTACTGATAGACGCGTGCAGCTGGAGATGGCGAGGACATGTGCGCTCGACGAGGAGTTTCGGAAATAAATATATGTAGCTCGGACTGTCAGAACAGTGTTACACCAATAATATTACGAAGGATGGAATACCGTGAGATTGCTTTGACGCGTATGCATCTTGACGAGCCCAGCATCCATTTCGCGAGAGGTCCTTTCAAAGTCTTCATTCAAATAGGACTATGTAGAAATAGCATGATGGCTGGAACACGTCGACAGAGACTCCAAGAAGAATCGAGTTGGTGGGAAGGAAAGAGGAACGAACCTCGACTTTGATCACAAATAAAATGTTTGATGAGACGCGGGTTCCGAGATTTCCCCGTTCATTTCCTCCTTCTACTAACCACGCCACGGCCCACCGTGGCTCTACCAGAGTACAGCTCAGAGGTCTCTAGATCTCCACGCTACCACTAGCTCGATGGGTCATCTGCCTCCTTCTGCTGTCAGTGTCGCCGCTTCGCCCGCATCGCGGATTATTCTTAGCGTTTGCCGCTAATTGATAAGCGTATACATATATACCTTTCTTCCATACAAGGTACTCCTCTCCTTGATCATCTCTGATACCTTCCTCGTCTTCCAAAAGTTACGGCCCTTGCCACGCAGAATGACAGGTTTCCTCGATAATATTCGCTCGAAAAAGCCTGAACCGAGGCAGGAGGAGCTCACAGCAGATGATACGTTCGTGACAGACCCAAAACCAACGGATCTGATCATTGCGTAAACCAATCCCCTTTATCCTATCAGTGCTGGTATTGACTCCTTAACCACAGTGTAATGGGGGCAGCTGGATCTGGGAAAAGCACGGTACTTGTATTTTTATTGAAACTCGGCCTCGGACTCTTTTCAGACCGTAGTTGCAGTTCATCAATACCCTACTCGGCCAAGAGGTAGCAAGCGTTACCTATATCCCTGGATTTCGGACAACGCATATCGAGGTTTATCCCTACAGCAATCCTGTGTTTCCGGATAATCGCATCATCATGGTCGACATGCCAGCGTTCCACGACACAAATTACAGTGGTGGGGAGAGTCAAAATCGGGGACGCATCAGCGCATGGCTTGCTAAATCGTGAGAATGGTATTTAAACCGTAGGAGTCAGCTCTAATGATATCCTCCAGCTACGACTCGGGCATGAAAATGGCCGGAGTAATATACCTATTTGATATCAACACGACGCAATGGCAGGGCGCAATCAAGCTTGATTTCGACACTTTTGAACAGCTATGGGGCCAATCATCACGAAATGTTGTTTTTGTGACTTCGATGTGGGAGAAAGTCGTACACTCGACAGTTGCGGAACAACGCGAACAGGAGCTGAGGAACGAGCTTTGTAAGGACATGCTTAGGAACGGATCTGCCATGCATCGCGGATACCGTGATCAAAAGGCTGCAGAGGATACAGTCGACTTCATCTTAGCCCAAATTCCCACTGTGTATCCCGCCTGGGTACAACAGGTGATGGACGAATTCAACATGGCACTTCTTGGCACAGAGCGCTACTTGTCCACGGCACTACAAGCCTATGTCAAAAAACGCGAATACTACGCCGGTTTGTTCGCTGCTAAAGAGGATACCCACTTGACCACATTACAACAGACAATTCGATACCGCAGGCTCAAAGATTCCTTACAGATATGCCAGGCGAAAGCCGCGACGTTCAGGTCTTTCAAATCGGAACGTGCCAAAACTGATCCTGGACGCTTGAAGGAGCTACACAGGATCTACTCAGAAATTCGGAGCATTCAGCTGGAAATCAGAGACTTAGAGCTTGTTCCATTTGCTATCAAGCTTCGGGTCTTCCTTGACGTGAGATCCTTTCTTATAATCAAGGAGGTTTCATACCCACTCCTTTTTCTAGGGCCTTCCCGAGTCAGTCAATGCGAAAATATATAGGATGACAAACCAGGACTAGTAGGTCCGACGGTGAGCATACCACACAATTTCCCTATCAAGTGTGCTAGAGCATATAGGGTTAGGTGTGAACAATAAAAGTGTCAAGAACATCGTTGGTGGAAAAGCATGTGTCCGATGGCTCAGAGACGAATCACACTTTGCCAGTGCCAAGACCAGAAACAGTCACTCAAGATCGGTCAAAAACACGGATTCTTTTTGTCTGTAGGTTGGCGGGGAGTGGCTTTGGGATAATAGTTCGATTTGAATACCTGTAATTTGACCGGATCTACATGTATACAAGTCATAAGAAGCAAGGAGGCCGACAAGTTGTATGATCAATCGCAAATTAAACAAGTTCGGTTGCATGTTCCACAGGCCTAGCTGTGCATCTCTCCTTCCCTCTCTTCCCTTTTACTGACCCTTCCACCCCACCCAGATGCCTACATCCTCCACACCATATCCACCCACCTCTCCCGCCCCACCACCTCCTCCGACCTCATTGTGCTACACCTCGGCTCCGGTGCCTCAGTCTACGCGATCTGCGCCAGGCGCTCCCTTGACACCTCGATGGGCCTCACGCCCTCAGCGGCCTCCCTGGTCCTGCGGTTGGTTTTCATTATAGCAAGTCTCAAGGATCCTAGTGCCAGTGCCGATGTGGAGGGAGAGTGAAAAGGAGAGGAAGAGGGTGCGCACAGATTGCATGTCGTTCAAGCAGAGGAAGTACTAAACAGGAACTGTGGGTGGAAATTCCTCAGACGCATCGGATGTCGGTGAAATCGTACGGGGTCGAGACAGCGACGGAGGCCTAGACAAAGATGCGTGCACGCTCGCGTTCGACATCCTCCTCGACCGATAACACGTCGACACAGGCTCGAGAAAGGATCGAGTTGGTGAAAAAGAAAGAGGGAAGAACCGTGACTTTTATCACAAATAGTATAAGCATCATGCTAAAATGATGTACTCAAATCACATCACATTACAACGCCGAGCCCCGTGGCGCATCCCTGGATGATCTACACTACGTACGGTGTATCGGGAATGGGTCAAGGACATACGAGGTATACCCTAGGCGTGGGTGCTGTCGTGTAGTGGCCATCATCCGAGAATTTGATCTCTGAAAAATGGTGTATTCATCTTCTCGTAACCCAGGTTCAAACCCTGACAGTGCCTCTTAGTCGCGAAGAAGAAAATGGGTATATTTTATGTGTCTGAAATTCCTCAAATAAAAGATTATTGGAATGTGCCTGCGCCCCGCAATGCACCTGTGACTCACCATGGATTTGTTCTCGTAACGTAACCCAGGTTTGGGTCCTGGAAGTGCCTTGTGTCCGTATGGGGAGAATGTTTTTGAGCTGCAGCCTGCCGGACCGGGAGATAAATGAACAGGCGTGCAGTGTGCATCCCCTTGTTGACATGGGCCATGGGCATATATAAGTATCATACTAAAGTCATGTACTCACATCACACTACATCACATCACAACACCGAGTCCCGTGGCGCATCCTCGGACGCTCTACAGTACATACCGCGAATGGTTGAGGAGACACGAGGTATCCCCTAGGGCATGGGCGCTGTAGTGTAGTGGTTATCACTCGAGGTTTTGATCGTCAACAAATGATATCGTTATCTTCTCGTAACCCAGGTTCGAACCCTGGCAGTGCCTCTGTCACCAAATCTCAGCTCGTTTACATATTTTATATCCCTGAAATTCCTCAAATAAAAGATTGTTAGAACGCGCCTGTGCTCCCATACACACCTGCCACCTGTGACTCACCATGGACTTGGTATCATTATGCGTGTTCACTGAGTTCACGATTGCAGGACCCGCGAAAGGACGTATGGTGGCGCATTCTCTCGCGTCCAGACATCGATATACGTAGGAGTACAAGGACAAGGACAAGCGAGGGTACGTAGGAGGTTAAGCGTTGTAGTGTAGTGATTATCACTCGAGATTCTGATGATCAGGTCATGAATCTCGTTGATCATTCTCGTAACCCAGGTTCGAGCCCTGGCAGTGTCTTAACCCAGCGGGCAATTAAAATTCTTTTATTCCGGGGTAGCGCATATGTTTGGATCGTTATCACAGGTATACACCATCAATAATAGCTACGCACCAGGGTCGGCGAGCTCCATACGCATCGTGGCGCATCCACACACGAATCGTGATTGATCGGTCGCCCAGATCGGGTGTGGCAGTATGGGTACAGTGATGAATAGGGGAACTTGTATGGCGCTGTAGTGTAGCGGTTATCACTCGAGATTCTGATGGTGCATCGCAGCAAGTCAATTCTCGTAACCCAGGTTCGAGTCCTGGCAGTGCCTTATCAGGAACTTGTAGCAGAATTTTTAGGGTGCGGCACAGCCTGATTCCGACTCTGAGACATGCTTACCTCCCGCTTTGGTGATGTCATAGACACTGCCTCTTCTGCATTGATATCACATCCCAACGAGACTCTTTAGATCCCCCACCCCATCGTGCGCACACACACACAGCATGAGCTTCGTATTCGAGAAAGCGAGCAAGAAGCTCTTCGAGAAGCACCTGGAGCAGTACGCGCCGAAGGATGCGATGTACGAATTCTACACGGATAAGAAGGGGAAGCAGAAGCGCAAAAAGGTATGTATTTTCATTCCTTTCGCTATGTACACCAGATAGTCATAAGTCAGTCTAACACTCCCCCAGCGTCCCCTCCCACCAGACCTCTCCCCACGCGACGCCAAAATCCTCCAATCCGTCCGTCGGCGCGCACACTATCTCGACAAAGGATTCCACATCCTCGGTTTCCGCTTCGGCTGGACCTTTCTCATCGGTCTCGTTCCCGTCTTAGGGGACGCCATGAACGCCGGACTGAATTACTACCTCGTCGTGCGGAAAGCGCGGCAGGCGGAGCCCCCGGCGTGGATTGTGCAGCGCATGTTGTTCAACATGGGGTTGAGCACGGGCGTGGGGCTGGTGCCGTTTGTGGGAGACGTGGCGGTTGCGGTGTGGAAGACTAATAGTAGGAATGCGGCGTTGTTGGAGGAAGTTTTGAGGTTGAGGGGGGAGGAGTTTATCAGGCTGAATCCTGAAGATGGCCAGAGTGTGGGACGAGGCCCAGGCTTGAGTGAACGTGATGTCGAGCAGGTGAAGCCTGGGGCGGGGTTTAACAATGAGACGAAGAGGAGGAGATAGGGAGTTGATAGATAGAGTCTAGACCTACCTCGACCATTATGACGTCATAACCTCCCCATCTTTATATACACCGTGCAGCAATCGAATTGTCCACAGCGATGTCGATTCTCTCCGTCAACGCGGGCTCCTCGTCGCTCAAAGTCTCCCTCTTCAAGCGCACGGACTCAGTCACGCTCGAGGTCACATGTACCATCTCTTCCATCACCTCCCCACCCGCCTTCCTCACACTTAACGGTTCCACTACCCCCCTCCCTGCCTCTATCGCCTCCCACGCCTCCGCCTTCACGCACATCCTCTCCCAGCTCCCCTCCCCACTCGACTCGATCTCGCACATCTGCCACCGCGTAGTCCACGGCGGGTCCTACTCACGCCCCGTCCTCATCGACCAAGACGCGTATGACCACATCGCCGCTCTCTCTGCACTCGCACCACTCCATAATGCCTCAGCGCTCGACGTCATACGCGCATGCCTTGAAAGTATGCCGCACGCGAAGAGCATCGCGTTCTTCGATACCGTATTCCATAACAGTATACCCAAGCATATATCGGCGTACGCAATTGACCAGACCCTCGCAACAGAGCGCGGGCTGCGCAAGTACGGCTTCCACGGGCTTAGCTGTAGGATTCCTCCACCCTTTCCCTCCCTCCGTTCCTTGCTAACATACCACCCCCCCCAGATGCGTATATCCTCCGCTCCGTCTCCACGCACCTCTCCCGCCCCGCCTCCTCTCTCAACCTCATCGCGCTCCACCTCGCCTCCGGCGCCTCCGTCTGCGCAATCCGCGCCGGGCGCTCCCTCGACACGTCGATGGGGCTCACGCCCCTCAGCGGCCTCCCCGGCGCAACGCGTGCGGGGGGCGTGGATCCTGCGCTTGTGTTCCATTATACTAAGGATGCTAGCGCCAATGTCGATGGGGAAGAAGAGGGTGAAGGAGAAGGGGACGGGGTCCATAGACTGCATGTTACACAGGCAGAGGAGGTGCTCAATAAACAGTGTGGATGGAAAGCCGTTACGGGGACGGCGGATTTCGGGAGGATCGTACGGGGTCGCGATAGCGACAAAGGCCTAGATAAAGATGCGTGCACACTAGCATTCGACATCCTCCTCGATCGTATACTCGACTCCGTGGGCGCGTACCACCTCAAGCTTGGTGGAGAGGTCGACGCGCTCGTGTTTGCGGGCGGGATTGGGGAGCGGAGCGTGGAGTTGAGGGAGGCCGTTATAGAACGCGTACAGTGCCTCGGGTATGCGAGGATTGATAAGGGAAGGAATGAGGCGGTGGGAAGAGGGCAGGAGGAAGGGGAGAGCGTGGTAGATATCGGTGTGCAGGGAAGTGGCAAGAGGGTGTTGGTGTGCCGGACGGATGAACAGGTACGTATCCGCTGCGTCATTCGTACGGGGTTACTGATAGACGCGTGCAGCTGGAGATGGCGAGGGCGTGTGCGCTCGACGAGGAGTTTTGGAAATAAATATCTGCAGCGAGGACTGTCAGAACAGTGCTATACCAATATCGTTACGAAGGATGGAATACCGTGAGGTTGCTTTGACGCATATGCATCGTGATGAGCCCAGCATCCATTTCGTGAGAGGTCTTTTCAAAGCCTTCATTCAAGTATACGTAGAGATAGCATCATGGCTGGAACGCATCGACAGAGGCCCGACGAAGGATCGAGCTGGTGGAAAAGAAAGAGGAACGAATCGCGACTTTGATCACAAAATACAATATTTGATGGATGAGATGCGGGTTCCGAGATTTCCCCGTTCATTTCCTCCTTCAACCACTATGGCCCCCCTTGGCTCTACCAGACATGTACAGCTCAGAGGCCTCTAGATCTCTAGATCTACACGCTACAACTAGCTCGATGGGTCACCTGCCTCCTGCTGGCAGTGTCGGCGCTTCGCCAGCATCGCAGATTATTCTTAGTGTTTGCCGCTCATTGATAAGCCTACACATATATACCTTTCTTCCATACAAGGTACTCCTTCATCATCTCCGATCCCTTCTTCGTCTTCCAAAGGTTACAAACCTTGCCACGCAGAATGGCAGCTTTCTTCAATAATTTTCGCCCGCAAAAGGCTAAACCGAGGCGGAGGGAGGTCACGGCTGACGATGCGTTCGTGACAGACCCAAAACCAACGGATCTGGTCATTGCGTAAATTAGTTCCCTTTATTCTATCGGGCTAATATTCACACCTGAGCCCCAGCGTAATGGGAGCAGCTGGGTCTGGGAAAAGCACGGTATTTGTATTTTTGTTGAAACTTGCCGTCGAACCATTTCCAGACCGTAGTTGCAGTTCATCGATGACCTATTCGGCAAAGAGGTAGCAAGCGTTAGCGATAACCCTGGTTCCCACACAGAGCATGTCCAGGTTTATCCCTACAGCCATCCTGAATTTCCGAACAATCGCATCGTCATGGTTGAAATGCCAGGGTCCGACGACATAAGCTCCAGTGATAGGGAGAGTTGAATTCGGGGGCGCATCAGCGCATGGCTCGCTCAATCGTGAGAATGGTATTTAAACCACACTAGGAGTCAGCTCTGATGGTATCCTCCAGCTACGACTCGCGCATGAAAATGGCTGGAGTGGTATACCTGTTTGATATCAGCCATGACTCCAGGCAATGGCAGGGCGCGATCAAGCAGGATTTCGACGCTCTTGAACAGTTATGGGGCCAATCGTCACAAAATGTTGTCATTTTGACTTCGAAGTGGGCCAACTCAGCCAAACTAGAATGGTTCACTGAAAACGGACGCGAGGAGGAGCTGATGATGACACTTTGGAGCGGCATGCTTGACAACGGAGCTACCACGCGTCGCGGATACCGTGATCAACAGTCTGCACAAGACACGGTCAACTCCATCTTAGCCAAAACGCCCACTGTGTATTCCGCCTCGATACAGCAAAAGATGGACGAATTCAACAAGGCACTTCTTGACACAGGGTGCCACTTGTCTGTAGCACTACACCATCTCAAAACGCGCAAAGACTACGCTGCTTTATTTGATGCTGAAGAGGATACTCACTTGACCGTATTACAACAGACGGTTCGCTACCGCAAGCACAAAGATTCCTTAAAGATATGTCAGGCGAAAGCCGCGACGTTTAGGTCTTTCAAATCAGAACGGGCCAAAACTGATCCTGGGCGCTTGGAGGAGCTACAAAGGATCTACTCAAAGATTCGGAGCATTCGGGGGGAAATCAGAGACTTAAAGCTCGAAGTTCCATTTACTCTCAAGCTTCGGGTCTTCCTCGACGTGAGATCCTTTCTCATAATCAAGGAGGTTTCATACCCACTCCTTTTTCTAGGACCTTCCCCGGCCAATCAGTGCGACAATATATAATATGACAAACCGGGACCAGCAGGACCGACGGTGAGCAGACCACATGATTTCCCTATCAAATATGCTAGAGCATATTAGCTTAGGCGTGAACGATGAAAGTGTCAAAAACATTGTTGGTGGAGAAGCATTTTTCTGATGGCGCAGTGACAAATCACACTTGGCCAGTGTCAAGACCGGAGACAGGTGCTCTCGGTCAAAAATGCGGATTTCCTTTTTGCCTGTAGGTTACAGCGGGGAGTGACTTTGAGATAATAGTTCAATTTGACGCTAATTTGACAAGATCTACATGCATACAAAGGGCACAAGTCATGAGAAGGAAGGAGGCCGACAAGCGGCACAATCAATCGCAAAAATAAACAAGTTCGGTGACTTTCCAGAGAATTAAGTTGAAGGATGCAGCACGATGTGGTGCCAAACTCTTTCACAAGTTCTCACTGGTAATGTCCCAATTTCACGACAGGTTGTTCAATTTCATGATATTGTTACTACATCTAGAAGTCCGTCACATGCGGTTGCAGATCCAATTTGCATGAGATCGTTGGACGCGCTGTTTACGCGTTGTTTGGATTGGATGGGAACGGCAAGATAGCGGCATATTGAGGTTCTGCATTTACCATGGGTTAATTTCTGTCATTCAAACTGTATTCTAAGCATATTGTATCTATATACCGTAGCGCTCTACCCCAAAGCTTAGATTGCCGGCATGGAATGTGTGGCGCGGGTTCGCTCGAGGTTCGCTCCTGATTGCCGTATTACCGGATCACCGGCAATGTGTGCCATGTTTCGGCAAGCCTTCTCTTACTTC